CCTTAGTATCCTTATTGAGCCTCCTAGAGGTGAGTCCTGCCGTTTTTCACAACTTCTATTATGACCTATTATCTATATAGTTCTTAAATTGTTCTTTTAGATGATGACCACATCTCCTTAACACTGTGTGTTTTTTCACCTCTTCTTCACCCTATGCATCACTCGTATTTTAGCCCTGATCAAAATGCATGTTTCAGGAAGGAACAATCCTGCTCAGCAACGCAAGCTTCAGCAGATGCAGCAGCAACAACAACAACAACAGCAGCAGCAACAACCACCGCAACAACAACAACAGCAACAAATGTCGATGTTATCTCCACATCATCAGTCCATGTCAGGCAGTCCAGGTCTACTGGACTCCAGCTCTCCGTCCAGCATCTCTGTCCGGTCTAATACCCAGACCACCAACAACAATAACAATGGTAGTAATAATAACGGCCGATTTGCCGACAACTCCTTCATTCAACAACAGCAACAACACCAACAGTTTATGAGGTTCAATGATTCCCCTATTCAACAGCAACAACCTCTTCAAAGTCCAACTCTACCGTCCTCTATGAGCTCAATTTCAAGTATGAATAACATAAGCAATAACAAGAACAACTACGTCACAAGCACCAGCAATATCAGCAATAACATGATGATGTGTGCTAATAAAAATAGCAACATAAGCACGAGCATGAGCATGGAGTCATCATGCAACAACAGCAACGTGAACTCTTCGAGCAATAACAGCGGCCTCATGACCAACATGAGCAGCGTGAGCAACATGACCAACATGACCAACATGACCAACATGAGCAATAATGGCTCAGGCACTACACCCTTGCCGCGCTTCTCTGTTTCTCTTGGTCGTAACTTACTAGGAACATCCAACACTTTACCTTCTGATGGTTCTTTGCCGCCCATATCTCGTGTTGAATCTGTGCTGCAGCAGCACAAGCACATGCAGCAGCAGCAACAGCAGCAACAACAACAACCTCAGCAGCAGCAAATGCAGCAGCTACAGCAACAGCCACAGCAGCAGATGTCTATGAGTCAACAAATGTACGGCAGCAACGAGACCGATATCAAGGCTATTGTTGAGACCATACTTCAAGTGAGTAAAACCATCTCTTACTTTTCTTTAATGTGTAGAATGAGTATTTGATTTACAAGTTCCGTAACTTGCTTTCCACCTCATAACATAACCTACTCAATCTGCATTTAACTGCTATCATTACCATGACTAATTCTCATTTCAATTCTGCTGTAAAGAATTGAAAATTGAATTCTGCGGTCTCATTATTTTTCCTCTACTTCATATATAACTGTGGCCGGCTCACAAAAATCGGTTATAAAAAAGATTTTCTCGCACGTTTATTCGGCAATACTTTGGTTATTGTCTTGCATTCCGTCATCATCCGTGATGCGATGTTACAGGACAGAATACGAGTGAAATTTCCTTATTCTGTTCAGTTGCTGTTCGCTTTAACTACTCGATGAAAATGTAATTTAAGTGGCAAACATTAAATTTATGACAACATTAAATTAATTTATCCCTTATCTTGATACTTCCTTTTCTTCAGTTTGACGAAACATTTAAGTGGCAAAACACTAAATTTATGATAAAATTAAATTATTTTTAATTATTAAATCTTGATACTTCCCTGCCTTCAGTTGACGAGACATATAATATAAGTGGCAAATTATAAATTTATGATAAAATTAAATTAATTTTTCCACTATCTTAATACTTCCTTGCTTTCAGTTTGACGAAACATTTAATTTAAGTGACAAACATTAAATTTCCAACATTCAATTAAGTTTCCCACGATCTTGATAGTTCCTTGCCTTAAGTTTGACGATACATATAATTTAAGTGGCTAACATTGAATTGCTGGCAATCTTCACTCGCTGCCTTCTTTGTGTTGATGTTCATGCAAGTCTTAAATTAATTTTTCCACTATCTTAATACTTTCTCATCTTTAGTTTGACGAGCCTGGCGGGGACGATAACTGCATGGCGCCCCTGGACGAGCGCTCGCTGCCGTCCTCGTCGTCCAGCTCGTCCATACTGGGCCTGGACGCCGCGTCGTCCAGCTACCAGGATTACCAGGACAAGCACCAGGCCATCCAGAAGATCCAGCACACACTCATGATGGAGACAGACTCCACCTTCCAGACCGTGAGTTGTAGACCCGCGGTCTGCCATGGAGACAGACTCCACCTTCCAGACCGTGAGTTGCAGGCCCTCGGTCTGACATGGAGACAGACTCCACCTTCCAGACCGTGAGTTGTAGACCCTCAGTCTGACATGGAGACAGACTCCATCTTCCAGACCGTGAGTTGCAGGCCCTCGGTCTGACATGGAGACAGACTCCACCTTCCAGACCGTGAGTTGTAGACCCTCGGTCTGACATGGAGACAGACTCCTTCTTCCAGACCGTGAGTTGCAGGCCCTCGGTCTGACATGGAGACAGACTCCGCCTTCCAGACCGTGAGTTGCTGCTAAGTGGCTGCAGCCCCTCGGTCTGACGCCCCTTGGTCGGTCTAGCCCCTCGGTCTAACTTCCCATCGGTCGGTCTAGCCCCTCGGTCTGACGCCCCTTGGTCTGACGCCCCTTGGTCTGTCTCTTATACACATCTANTGGAGACAAGAGACATTTGTATGGAGACACGAGACATTTGTGTGGAGACACGAGACATTTGTATGGAGACACGAGACATCTGGGTGTAGACAGGAGACATTTGTGTGGAAACACAAGACATTTGTATGGAGACGCGAGACATTTGTGTGGAGATATTGGGCAGATGACGACCAGATAAAAATTTCTTCAACTTGCTGTATTTTACCATTTTTTTCATTATTTTTTTCCTACCTCTATCAGTGGTGTACTACGGACGTATGGATTTGACACGTGTTTTGGATTTGTTTATGTTTTTATTTTTTTTCTCGCTGCAATATTTGATTTTTTTTTAGTTTTTCCTTGGACTTTCGCTTGAGACGAAAATTAGCGAATGTAGCGTTGCCAGCCATGAATACTAAAAGATGTTCGCACCGTAAACATCATTGGCTTCTCTCATAACGATTTCCGTTCAAAAGGGCTGCGTAATATATATACTTATTGAACGGCAACATAGTGAATTCAAATATATGTACATACAATAATATTTCATTGATATAATATGCGTAATTATATCATTATTACACGTATAATAATATTATTTATATTTTTTTAAATACCTACTACAGGAACTAAGTTCATCGAAAAATAATATTATTTCTATTTTTTTAAATAATGCAGGAATTAATTTCGTTGAAAACTTATATGATTTCTATTTTATTTAAATAATGCATGAATGAATTCCATCGAAATAAATGAGTTATATTCTTGTGTTACCAGGCCAATTCGAGTCAGTCGAGCTCGCTGCAGCAGCAGCAGGCGTACCCTCAGACGTACTCCCCTCAGCAGAGCAAGTACCCTGCAGGGGGCGTGTCCCCCTCACTCCTGCAGAGGCAAACTAGTACCAACTATCCCCCCATTCCCCCCGCCATGCCTGTCAACAGAGTTGCCATCGAGGTATGAAACTTGAATCTGCATGATTTCCTTTTGCTTGTTTCGCGGTAAAATTTATTCATTCTTCTATTTCCTTCAATTTTCAAATCGTATGTATATTATATTTTACTATCCTCCCATATTTTACTACCCCCCCTCCCTCCATTCATCCCGTCATGCCTGTCAACAGAGTTGCCATCGAGGTGAGGAATTTCAATTCTCACCTCATGAATATAACCAACATGTGAATATTACATGAAAATATCGCTACATCGTAGTTAGGTCAACAGATAACGACAGCAAGGAATAAAACATCAACTATTTGGTACGCTTGTACCTTTTATTTTGTACGCTATGTACCAAAGAAAATGTACCAGTCGCTTGGTAAGCTAGGTAACTTTTCTTGCAGTTATGTTGTAAGATTGATACGTGCAACACGTTACAACTCGAGGCTAATACGTGCAACACGTTACAACTCGAGGCTAATACGTGCAACACGTTACAACTCGAGGCTAATACGTGTTATAATTAAATGTTTACAGAGACAAATGAGCAACCCGTCGCCGCAACTGCAGCAACAAATTTTGCTGCAACGTCAGCAACAGCAACAGAAGCTACGTGCACAACAGCAGCTGTTGCAACAACAGCAGCAACAACAGTCCGGCAACAGCGACTCGTCTCTACACCTGCCCTACAACGGCCAGAACTACAACGAAATGCTCAACAGCGCTGCAGCGCCTAATATATCTTTACAGGTACATCTATTTACATTACAGGTACTCTACATTACAGGTACATCTATTTACATTACAGGTTACTCATTACTCACGTAATTAATGTAATGTAATTACCCAGGCACATTACATTACAATATCATTACAGGTTAACTCCCTATCAATATAAATATGATAAATATTCATGTATATTATGTATTATATTTGTATTATTTGCTGAATGTGTACGAAAAAGTGTAATTTAAATGTAACAGACGCTTGCGTTCATGTTTGAAGGCAGTCTGATTTTATAATATTTTATTAAGCAGTGTCTAGTATATTACTCTTAAATATTTATGATTTAGTCATAGACCTCCATAATAATCTTGTGCATTAACCTTATTTTAACCATTGTCTTGTTTGCTTTAACCTTATTTCAAGTTAATCAGTTCGCTTGAGTTTACTCCACTCGACCATGATAGCATTTTCTCAATTTGTCTTACACCAGAAACAATTAAGTATTGAACCTGTTAAAATCTGAGAAGTTTTATAAATATATTTATTTTAATTGTGTGCATTTAACGATCTAAAACACTGAATTTGATCCACGGTACACAGCGCGGCAGCACGGACAGCACTCAGCAGCAGCAGCAGCAGCAATACCTGCAGCACGCTGCCTCCAGCACCGCGGTCTCGGGGGGCGCTATGACCCACGGCTCTCTACAGGCTCCTCCTTATGTCGGGTAAACTCCTCTACTCTTTCTTTATTGTCATAATATTAACTGCTCGTCTCATTTGTTATTGTGATAATATTATTTTTTAGCTATAATAATATCAAGTTTTCGAAATTTTCTTTATTGTCATAATAATATTTTTTAGCAATAATAATATTGGTTTTCGAAGATTTTTTTTCTATTGTCATTATGATTTTTTAGCAATGATGACAATGATATTGTCATAATAATATTTTTCAGCTATAATAATCTTAGTTTTTCGAAGATTTTCTTTTATTGTCATAATAAAATTTTTTAGCAATATAATCTCAGTTTTTCGAAGATTTTATTGCACAATTGCTCAGCACTAACTCAAAAGCTGCCTAGGTTAGGTAGGAGATGCTATACACAAGAAATGCATTATCAATCAAACACATGTAGTGTATTGCACATGAAACCCTTTGATTTACTTCCAAATTACCGGTGAACTCAATACTCCACTAAAGTTGAATACCCAGTGGCCCAGTGGTTAAAGTTCAGAGTACCAAGATTGGCGCAGAGAGGCGCGGGTTCGATCCCAGCTCTGTGCGCCAGTTTCTGGTCAGAATCGGCAAGGAGGCCGGGCGGTTAAGCACAGCAGAATTGTAGCAGTGAGTTGCAAGTTCGAGACTGCAACAAGCTGTGGTTGTTCTGCGATGTTAAGAATCGGCGACAGGCCTACGGCCTATAATAACGCTTAAACCGCTATTATTATAATAATATTTCACGTATCATGAACCAGATAATAAGTTAGTATTGGAGCATTAGACCTATTATTTCTATATACTTCAGGTCCATGAGCTACAGTACTGGTCAACAACAACAACCACAACAACTACAGCGCGGGGGGCCCGCGGGCTCCCCAGCGCCCCCCTCCTATGGACTGCCCCCCCAAATGTCGCCCCCCGCCAGCATGGGGGCCCAGGGGGCCTGGCAACAGCCCCCCGCTAGACAAGTCGTCCCCCAGGTCAACGTGAGTTCATATTACAATTTACCTTAATATTATTATTAAACCATCGATCTTATTTTATGGGACCATCTATTATTAATTATAATAACTTCTATCTTTTTTTGGTACTATCTATTATTATACTTTATTTTATAGTACTATTTATTATAATACCATAGATCATATTTTATACTAATATCTATTATTTATTCTAATACCTAGTTTTATAATACCATGATCATATTTTATAGGACCATCTACTATTTATTATAATACCTTCTGTCTTATTTTATAGTACCATCTATTATTTATTATAATACCTTCTATCTTATTTTATAAGGCTACCTCTTTCTTACTCTTGTTAGATGCTTCACTTATAACCTAAATAATATCATGACCTAAATAGGCGTTAACAACAACAATTTCCCTTTTAATACCTTCATTAAACTCTGAACTTCATTTATCATACGTTATGAAATTTAGGGTATACTCGCTCATAATAATCATTTCATTGCTGCCTCTAGTTTCGTTCAGGTTGTTGACGTGAAACTAAATACCTTGACACGAAACTAAAACATAGTCGCGTTGACTGTCTGGCAACACGATCATTCACAAAGTTGACTAAAATCAGGCAACAATAATCCACCTTGCATTATTGCAGGGGAAATATTATCGATACTAATAATCATTGCATAACATTGAAAATAGTAATTATCATTGCAGCGGAAATAATAACAATAATCATCATTGCTGAGAAATAATAATAATAATAATAATAATAACCATTGCAGAAGAAAGTAATCTTACTTGTTTAATCCTCCAGATGGGGATGGGGACACAGCGGGGCTACAGGGGGGGAGCGGCATCCCCCGTGGGCTTGCACCCCAGCGTGCGCGGGATGCCCAACAGCGGAATGGGTGGCGGGATGAGCGGCGGCGGGATGGGTGGCGGTGGCGGTATGAGCGGCAGCATGCCTATGATGCGCAGCGGTGGGGGTTACGGTGGCGGGATGACGGGCGCGGCGGCGGGGGCTGATGGCGGGGGGGCGTACAGTCCCTCCCACGGGGGGCAAGGGTCCCCCGTCATGTACCAGGGCCAGATGAGCCAGTACCGCCGCCCCATGCAGGGACCACCGATGTCGGGTCAGTTGTAATAAATTATTATGATCCTTTATTATAATTATAATAAAGGATTATTCCTATATTCCTGTCGGATCAGTACCCATCAAACATAATAATCCTTTTTAAAATCTTTTATTGAGCTTAAGGTTAATAGTTATAATTAATAAATTAGAAATTAATTGACTCATATAGGCAGCAACTGCCTAGATGGGTCGTAAATAAGACAAATTCCTATGCCTGAAGGACCTAATATTCTCATGCATTTATAGTTATACTGAAGCCCTGTGTGTGATGTGTGTATGATATGTATGGTAATGTGTATAATGCATTACATTATACGTATACATACATATATGTTTGATGTATATGGTGATGTGGATGTGTGTGTGAGTGATGGTTACACAACATTTCCTCGTTCGTGGAAGTTGTTGTTGGCACGCCGGTTTCTGGATGTTTTTCAATCCAGTAAAACTACTAAATACTAGCGCTAGTTGCGGTTCTGCCTAGTTTTTGCTACACAAGGGAGCAGTTGCGGGTAACTAGTGGTCGCTCATGTGGTGTATTCAGTCCAAAATATGATTCTGGGTTCTCCTTGGTTCGTAATATGGTTCTTCATTGGTTGTACGGGGGTGTAATCCGGTAAGCTTATTATAGCATTAGCGCGCATGCTACTAATTTATAATCTTTAGTTTAGCGTGTTATCACTTGCACCTTGCATGTTATCACGTTATATGTTATCATGTTATATCACAAACACGCATTTCCTTCGTAAGAATGATGATTAATCTAATAAGTATAGTATAACCAAAATAAATCTATCTTCTAACTAAAGTATACTATTGAGAAATGCACCTCAATGATACGTAATGCTTGAGTTAAAATCACTCCGAATAATGGCAGGCTTTTCCCCTCTTTTATTTCTTAGGTCTTCTCTCTCAACTATTCATCGCTATAATCACACTTTAATTTTGAGATCTGCGGTCGCCTTTCGTTACCATGAGTTTCATCACAGTCTTCATCCTAATGTGCGTCTCTTACACGTATTCTACATGGTGATTTTATCTTTTCATCTACTACCATAATAAAATGTTTAGCTCATGCATCAATCATGCTTTCAGATCTTAAAAAAATTAGGTTCTGTAAGTCGTTGAGGTATAGTTTCCTGTGGTTGTTACAATCTGTTATTGTATCAGATCACGCGATCGCCAGAAACTTCACGCTTATATTCATTTATTTTGAACTCGCCTAACACAGACCGTGCGTCACAATTAGCAGCCGTACTATTAAATACAGTTACGAGTTCATAAGTCCGTTAGCTAATCATTGACGGCTTTTCAAGCTAAACATCATATCTAAACCACCCTCCCCAATCAATCACGATAAATCAACGGCTACGTGTGCTTATATAGGTCGCTACGTGGACTTAGGTCGCTACGTGTACATATGGGCTGCTGCGTGCACTTAGGACGCTTCGTGTACTCAAGCGATTTTGATAGCACGGTTCCCGAGATATCCCTCGTCACAACATCTATCAACAATTCTTTTGATTAAATTATAACGTATCTTAATTTGAACTTATAACCTGACCTGCAATCTTATTGACCGTAATCTAAATCTAACTGATCATAAACGTAACACTGTAACAAACAAGGACTTGGTGTGGATTTAGCACTTAACTCTAACTCACTTGATCATGAAACAATTAAACAATATTAACTGATGAAAATATGCTTTCCTTACGATTATTTTCACTAACATAAATGAAGGTGCTGAGACCTAGTCTTCGCTTCACTACGTTTTTTTATCCTGGATATCAAAACGAATTTCTCAGGTTCGTGGACTGGAAAGATCCGATTTTTTCACCGACATCCATTATCAATATTGTTCATTGCAGGTGCCAAGCTGTCTCCATTTTAATAATGTAACTTTGCAGTTCATTGGCATAACAATGAACTTTTGTACAGCAACGACCTTCTTCCAGGAGACCAGATTTGCTACCGCAACTCAGCGTTATTTTATAATAGTTTACCTCTTCCTATGCTGAGAGATTCAATGCAGATGCCGTACAGGTCGGTTTGCAGATGCCGTAAAATGTTCTGGCTCTATAATGCTAATGAATAATGCAATTTAAGTCTTAATAAATAAGATTCATCATCACATCCATGCAAGAAGCTTCGTCTGCCGCCGACATGTGAGCTGTGCGTTCTTGGTTTTACTGTCTTAACATCAATGGTTTTTCATTGACGTAACGAGAACCGAACTAATGACACAGTCTTAAATGTCTTCAATATATTTAACTATTTTGAACAGGTTGGTCTAAACAGAACTGCTTGGTACGGCCAGAAGGATGGGTTTAAATGTTTGAAAAATAATTGTTGAGAAAGAAGTAATCGAAAATGACTCGATCAGAAGATTCCACACCAGGTACAATGACACTTCATTTTAATGTATTTTAGTAACTTCCATGCCGTTCATCACGATATGTATTGCGCGAATTTTCGGTTCATGAGCGCAGACGAAATCGAGAGCGTAGAACTATGAGATTGCAAAGACACCAATTCTGTGACTCATTCCTATGCATTTCACTTTGTACATATCACTTTCTTTTCATGACCATAAGTGTCTTGCCTTTTATTTAATTTGCACCTGTTTTTTGTTGAATTATCTTGTAGTTGCAAGTATCTTGATCAAACTATTGTTAAATTTAGAGGTAGTAGGATAGCGTTCACCATGCACTGTGGCGCCTGAATATTTATGTCAAAAGCAAACGTCTGAATCTCATCCGTCAAATGTTGCTTCTCAGTTCCATAACTTTGCCGACCGCCAGGGGTTATCTAAACAACAAAACTAAGTGATTTAGATCCTTTAAACCCCCCTGGACAGCTCATTTACGCTTTTTTCATAACTTTTACTGATCTCAAACCCGGATTTTAATCGCCAAATCTCTTCTACTGAAAAAAAAGTTTGTGCTCGAAATTCACCCAAGATCGACTTGATGTTGAATTTCAATATGTGACTACATTATGATGGCTGAAATGATCACGTTTGCTTAGTAGTTAGTGATGAGATAAATTAGTTCGATATTTTTGCGCTGCTACATCACAGCGATGCAGTAGTACAAAGGTTGCACCGGCAGTAGTTAAGTAGTACAGATTTTTCTGTGTAGCACATGTGTGTTCTGTATTAGTTACTTGTTGTTGCACCGTTCTCATACCTTGCACCTGTGTTCATGGAATTCGTGGGCGTTGGTGTTTTGTTATTTCATTGTCGAATTCTCTGTCTGGTTTGTTCTCTTCATGTCGTAGTGGTAATTAAACCTTATAAAATTATTCTATTTCGGTATATTGAATGCATTTCTATTGCACCGATATCCGTTATCTGGAGTATTTGATTTTGAATGGACGCTTGTAATACGGTTAAGTAGTTAACTCTGTGCAGTCCACTTTCTTCATGCACGATTTCGAAAATGTCTAATTAAGAGCACTTATGTGTTCAGTAAAGCTGGCGTTTTTCCAAGTCGTTTCCGTGCATGGCATGCGTCTTCCAATAGTTGTTTCTCAATTATGCTCGTATTTCTTCCTAGGTGGTCTCAATAAACTCAGTTAGTCTGTTATTATTTTATTTACATAAAATTCCCATGCTTTCAAATCCACTCCAAGCAAAGAAATTATCTATGAATGAAGATATTCCATCGTATTGTTTTGAACATTCCATGAAATACCTAACGAAAACGAACTGCTCTGATAATGCATACCGATTTTAGGGTTTCCCTGTTAAAGTTCCCTCGCCTTATTAGTATTTCATAGGACTGAAATTATTTACGTTTGGTTCGTTGTCAGATTTGTATCGTCGGTATTTTTTGCGTTCACGGGATGTGTTGTGAGATGAAAGTCTGCCCGCAGGCATGAAAAAGTTCTTCATATTTCGGCATTAACCCTCTACCGTTGTATGTCACTCTTCGGGAACATAACTTTCAAATTATACGTAAACCATTGAGTGTAACAACCTGAGCAACAGAGAACATTTTAAAGTTGACGTACGTGGCGGCAACCATCAGTGCAAGTCATTTTGCGCTCACTAGAACGTATCCTTTTTGGCAAGTAGGCTTGTGACAATATTGCTCCGGTTACTCATGTCAGGCGGTAGAGGGTTAAAGTGTGAATGGCAATGATTGATTTTGTATTGTTGACTGGAGATCATTGCGTGTAACATTGTGTGAAGCTTAAAGCCTTCGTGTGGCTCGTAAGCTCCGCTGAAAATCACAGTACCATCAGAAACATATTGATAACCCGTTCTTAGGCCTCAACTAGCTCCAGAAAATCCTTTATCGCTCAAAAATCCTCAATATTTACCTAGTTTATTCGGGTGGAAAGAATCATAATCATATTCATTTTTATTCTTAAATCATTATGCGTTGGACTGGAGTAATATGATTCGAGACCACCATTCGTCTTTCAATAGTTTGATTAAATCCAATGGGTAACTGTGATTTTCTGTGTGAGTCTTTAAATTGTGTGATTTATCACTACATGTGAGGCTTGCACATTGTTCGAAAAAACGTGAAAAAAACGGTCTCACCGGCGTTCTAGTGACCGGTCGCCGTGTGAAAATAAACAATTTCGCCGTTTTTCAGATGGACTGATTTCTAGTGTTAAATTGGAATAAAAACGGCGACACAGTGTTTCTTTTCACGTGACGACCTGTTACCGAAACGCCGGTAATACCGTTTAACGGTGGATTTTTTTTACAGGATATGCCTGAAGTGATGAGTGTTTTATCACAGTATTGCAATGAATACTCACTGCTTGTGACTTAGTTGAACAATTTATGGACTTATTTAATTATTTGACATCTTGCGCATTAATCACTTATACAATATGAACCTCAGACTTACTTATCATACGACATGAAAATAGTAAACTTCCAAATCCAATTTTTTTCCTTTTTATGTTTAATTACTAGAATTCAAAGGATTGTTCAAAGGTTTGCTTTCACCTCTGTAAAAATTGAATCGTATTCCTCATGTTCCTTTCTCGAACTTTTGAAAAGTGCTCGGTTTTTTAGTGCAATAAATTCAAAATATAACAAAATTATAGGATTGACGACAAATATTCTGCAATATTTTTCGATGATCTAAGTCTTCTTTTTGAAGCTTTATTCCTATATTCTTGCTACATTCTTCCCTTTTTTCGTATCTTGAACATTCTTCGTTTAGTATTCACTTATTCTACACTTTTCATTGTTCACTCATTGTTCCTTGTCCACTTTCTGTTAGATTTTTGAGTGTTCACACACTGTCACATATGTGGCTCTACGTTCAGTGTTACATTGTCCAGCGTTCACACATTGTTTAATGTTTACTCTTTATATCATTGACCAATATTCAGTGTAGACGACGTCTTTCAATTGGTGAAGTTTTACCATACAGCCTTACTCCATTTTATTAGTTCATCCTCGTCTGCTATTCATGTTCATCAAGGCCTCTCTTATTGGGTTTACCGAACTTGAGGGAAAACTTGTCTACGATATAGACGGCCTCTGATATCATTGTCGAGTAAAGTGTCCTTAAATAAGATAGTTATTTAAAGTCATTCAAATAACTTGTCTGATGATCTTATTCTTAGTTTCTTGCAAATGATGCATTCGCAGTGAGTGAAATATCATAATCCTATCAGCGGTATTGTTTTTTATTATATGCACCGCAAGATTATTACTTTTTCACATGATACCACCTAAATCTTTTGGTGAAAGTTAACTCTAATGCTTGTTGTCTTGTCGAGGCATCATTATCTGTCCATTACGAAAGCTCATTGAGTCTTTTAGGTACTTGATGTTGGGCTGATCTGCTGAAATCATTGATAACATATATCAATAATATATCCTTATAATCATTCTTCATTGCCTCTTTGGTTCGACATGATCACTATTGAATTCTTGATTTGTTAAAGCAAAATTTGACGCCTTCCACTTTTTTCTTCTATTACTTATAATTCAGACTTTTGTGTGTGTTGATGACTTGACGACACTTTCTTTCCACTGTTTCTATTATACTCTGTATAATTCAATTTCAATGTGTGTAATGTTGCAAAATGAATAATTTGGGTGGGCTTGTTCCTCCACTGGGTGTGTAGGTGTTCTCCCGAACCGTAGCGCACCACAGCACTACGGTGTGCACCACCCAAATGCTCACCTCGCCATGACTCATCACAACCCCATGCACATGCAACCCATGAACCCTGTCTCCATGGGGGCAAGTCCGTCGTCCCCCATGGGGCAAATGCGCAACCCCATGGACAGCGCCAGTCCCTCCATGATTACCATGAATAGAGGAGGAAATACCAGTACGGGAGTGGTTGGAGGTACTGGTAACGGAGGTAGTAACGCAGCGTCACCTTATATGAGTCACGGTGACTCACATTACGACATGAGTAATGCAACGGGCGTTGGTTCGCCTATGTATGCTGGTGCCTCGAGCGCCATCATGGATCCCATGAGAAACAGCGCTTCGCATGGTAAGAACACAAGCATGTATTGTTCGTGTGTATCTGTATGTGTTCTTGTCAAGTTTTTTACAGTGTTTTTCAATGTCCTTACGTTAATTGTTAAGGTGCACCGTATTTGGCGTGTGCCCATTTTCGAACATCGCTTAGCAGCCATGCAGGGCAAGCCGCTTGTCACCGACGATAAGGTGGTGGTCGGGAATTGATTTTTATTGCTTCCGCTGGTCCTTCAACTCTTCGTACATGTCTACAGGAATAAATTCATATCATTAGCATTAATGGATGATCGTGAAGTTGTGAATCTTCAAGCGGGTTACCTTTTTAATTACTAGTACTCTAATTGACATTATAATGCAGTTGACTGAAATTTCCATTCATCAATATTTTCTAATTCGCATTTCCTCCAGATTTTATCCACAATTTATGCCAGAAATAACAGGCAGACGGTCGGAGAAGCGTAACAACTTTTATGTAGTGTTTGTAAATTAAACCAGCTAATTGTCAATTCAAATATTTGTTTCGAAATGTATTTGGTTCGTATTAATTTTTCTAAATTCTGGAAACGGACATCAAATGATTCTTGTCCATTTTGTTTGATTCCAAATCAATACGCATAATATTCATTGGCCGTTAGACTACGACTTTGTGGTTAGGTCGCCTAACCAATCCAATAAGATCAATATTAATTAAATTTGATAGACAATATTAATTTAAATTGTTTATCAAAAATTTTCCCTACTGCAGCCAATAGAAATGAGTTTGTACTATTATTGAGTCCTTGCTTAAATTATAAATTATAATGATATGAAAAGAAACGCAGCATCTTAATTTTTGGGATTATATTAATTTGATGCTATACTGTAAAGTATTGTCTTCACTTGAATACACAGTGGAGATTTGACCTTAATATGTCTTCTTAAAGTTAGAACGCGTCGTTTCAAGCGCGGTTGCAGTGTAAAATGTTTTCTCTTGGAAAAGATGATTGTTCATGCAATTTTCCTTTGGATCCTCATGCATTGCTCTAGCTGCCAGAATTGACAATTACCGAACCATCATAGAAGTAATATGTATTTTTCAATGGATTTTCAAAAGCAATTATAATGGAAAGAGTAATTACACTAAAAACAATATCGTCCAGGCTCCGGCAGTCTTTCCGAGCACACCAAGAACGAGCTCAGGGCTCGAGTCGGGGCACGCAACAACAACAACAACTCGACAAGCGTCAACAACAACAACAATAATAATGGCATGGGAGCTTCTTGTGTTACTGCAGTGAATGTTTCCTTGCTTGCCTCTAAATCTCCTTTCCACGCTGGTTTTGTTAGCAGTCACAACATCAACGCTAATAATAGTAGTAACAACACTACTGCTGCTATGACACCACCACCACAACCTGCCTCTCTTCTGCAGCAGCACCATCAACAACATCACCATCATCATCATCTTAATCATCACGTACAACAACACATGACTCACAATATGAACATACAACACATGAACCATAATGCTAATCACCAGCAAGTTCCACCTCATTTGCTTCAACAATACCAACACCAGCAGCAACAACAACAGCAGCAGCAGCAGCAGCATTCGGCCTATCACGGGCTTGAAAATTTTGAGGCCTTCGGTCCAGGTACTGGAAGATTTGACGAAAGCCCGTCCTGTTGCCTGGCTAATTTTGTTCCTTGTCGATGGGGGTTTCTGTTGCTGTTGTGTAGGGTCGACAGAGTTTGGTTGGGTGGCGAAAACCACGACTGTTGAAGTATGAACATAACTTTTAAAATTTGTGGCGAATTCAAATAAACTGCCAATACCACAATTGTTGAAGTATGAACATAACTTTTAAAATTTGTGGCGAATTCAAATAAACTGCCAATACCACAATTGTTGAAGTTTGAACATAACTTTTAAAATTTGTGGCGAATTCAAACTGCCAAAATATCTGCAGGTTTTTAACCTGCTACAGTTGGCGCTTCATGAAATTGCCGAATTTGAAGCTCGTTCAACGGCCAAATTTTGTGGTTGAGTGAACTTTCGAATCTGTATTTATTCTAAATTTATAAACGGGCTTAAGTGAACTCGACATCTAGATTTAATTCGTGCAGATTTTTTTATCGAGTTGAATGAAATCTGATTTTGTCAACTGTCAGTGAATAAATTAGTTTAATTTTGTCAGTGAATAAATTTGTTTAAATTTATGCACTGTTCGACTCGACCGTTGATTCCTAACCAACAACTGATCAACACTGTCGACCCTCGAAACCGCAATTCGTTCTCAGATATTCCTGGTGCGGTGATTTGCAGCCACTAGCAAAATTTTGCAATAAATTAATGTTGAGTAAAAATTGCTCATGGTCAGTTCGAAGTAATTCGAAGGCGTGTTATATAAGGCACTTTCACCACGCCACGAATAACTGATGTGAAATTTGTTGTCCTGGTTCCGTCCTTGTTTTTGTGTTGCTGGGACTCGTAGCAAGCGGTATTGGCCTTTTATGTATCGGGATTTGATTCTAAGATTATGGGATTAATGTATGTTACGTATTTGATTACATGTATAGGAGTATCTACTGGATTAATACGTCCCCAGAGGCAGGGTAACCGCAATGATTCGATGTCTATGGGCTTGATGTACGTGACGGTATTTAATTAAATGTTGAGGGGCTTGATGTATGTCGTGGTTCTGGGTTGTATGTGCTTCAGTACCGCAATTATATGTTGGCACTTGATTAAATGTGGCAATTGGGGCTTAATCTATGTGCTTAATTGGAACATTCATTCCTTGTGCTATGGCTGGTCCATCGCATCGTGAATGTTGGTGTGAATGACATTTCCGTAGGGGTCTTACTTAGTAGAAAAATAACCATTCATATTTTCTGAAAATTTATGATATATTTTATATATTTTATAATTTATACATTATATTTTCACTTTATGAATATCAAACGTTAAAAAATCTGAAATAAAATCTCGTGTTAATTATATATTTTGCTAAAAACAAATCATTTTAAGAGATGAATTGCCATTATTTTCAAGCTGTCATAACGATCGTCGAATTTGGCTTCCAGGGCATACGTTATCTAATTAGCATATCTGTGACGTCCACCCTTCATTTCCTTTTGTTTGTGTTTGTCTGTGATGATGAGCTCTGTTGTTCGTCCTCGGCGCTGTCCTTACATGCTGCGTTGCCATGTGCATTCTTGCATGCAACCCAAACAAAATTTAGAGTCGCCCCAGCTTCTGGTACTCCAAATCAGAAGCTGCCGCGTCTGTAAATTTTCACTGGGTAACAAAATTTGGAGTCGCCCCAGCTTCTGGTACTCCAAATCAGAAGCTGCCGCGTCTGTAAATTTTCACTGGGGTCTCTGAAGCCGTATACCAGACAATCTCCCCCGAACAAGTGAGACAATCACAATCAATCTCCTTGCAATTGTGAGACAATCTTCCAGCAGTTTCAAACCTGTTCGTAAAGACTCTCTGATATTTTGTATTCAAAAATTGAGTTTCAAAGAGAATCTTGAGGTATTCTACATGATATCATGCACAAAATACAATGTGATCACTGGGAAATCTTATCACGAAATCGGACAAGTCTGTGACATAAGCCTATGTAACTGTTCGCCAAACTTTGACAGCTATTTTAAAAGAATTCGAAGTATGAAATTAAAAATTAAGAGACACTTAACATTTTCCCATACTTGAAGTTGCGTTTCTGTTGGTAGAGCAAACTTTGGCTGCATACTTCGGCCAAAATGCCACGAAATTAATATCGAGAGGCAATTATAATCGTCTCAAATCAAGGAAGATCAAATATCTTCCTTTTCAGCGCTCATTATAGCTTTTCAATTATGGTAAGATGTTAAACTGCTGATGTTAAGGCGAGGCAAGTCTTTTAATAGCATTGCAAAGCACTCCTGCATGGTCGCTTGCGCTACCCTTACTGGCGCCTCGTGGCGCAATGCTACTTAGCAGCACCGCGCTCAAGCACCGACTTCGCTAATCAATCTACAAAGTCGAGATCAATCATAAATAACAAATCGAATACGTTATGATTATGTTATGTTATGATTATCAAGAGCTCGCGTTGACCCAATCCAGTAATGGCAGTACAGTCTCTTGACTGATATTTAAATTGACATAACCGTGAATTCGCTAAGTTTACTTCTGTAGAATGTACGAATGCTTGGAGTTAAAGTTTGATCCTGAAAAAGACATCTTGTATAAGTTTCAAATATATAAACAGATGTGTATAAAATAATACTGTTTATAAAAAACTTTTGTGTTGGCGACATCTACTCGATAGTATTTCTCCAATGAATTTATTTTTGGGTTTGACGTAATATTCTTGCCATCCCAGCTATTTCAATTGTTATGCGAAACTTTAATTGGCCATCGAAGTAGAAAGTCATCATTTTAGATAGTAGAAGAACTTGTTCATAGTTAGATTTATTTATGTAATAAGAGGATCGAGTGTAAATAAAATTGCTCTGGGATATTGCTACAGTACAAAGATTTTATTCGGTCTTAACGAGGATTGTAACATTTTGAATTAGCAAGGTCAAAACTAAGTCGAGTGGTGATCTTAAGTTTTTGAACGAGACGGCTTATCGGAAATCTACTATTAAATCTTTACAGACACCAGAGAATATCGTTCTGAATCATATTCGATTACTTGCGTTCACTAAAAATGTGCTTTATGCCACGTCGCTATTTGGCTCGATATCGCTGCTGTTGCTGCTGCTGTTCTATGTTGTCGCTACTATTCAACGTACTTTCTAACCCTATACAGTCTCTAAAACAAGTTATTAACAGCTCCTTACTTCGGGTTACTTGTTTGTTTCAAGACAACTTGTGTCATTTATTTACCAATTGAGAACTGTATTGCTCTGCAAGTGAGATGCACAGTTATCTGTCAATGTAATGAACAGTAAAGTGTACGCATTTATCGCATTGCTGTGAAACACTGCATACTGAGCTGTATAGTTTCATACGTTTGGCAAAGTTGACCTCACCGTACATGGAATTAGAGAAACAATAAACATTTCAATCATCTACTCCATGTTTTTTGTGTTTTTTCCCTTTCGTTGAGTTGCTAATGCTTTGTGTTGATTACCGTTGCTTCATCTTTGTTTGTGTGTAGAACGTTAATTAGATAAAATGCTTGCGTTAATTTTGTAAGATACTAAAAATTGATTTGCTGAATTACATCTCACGAAACGAATCAATAAGATTTGAATCGAGTTGTATTAATTTTTTTATTGTTAATTTCCAACTAGCACAGTTTCAGAAAATTTACCTAACTTTTAAAAAGGATATTTTATCTAGGTTTCTGCTTCAAGGAATATGCAAATGTTTGATGCACTTCAAAGGTGATCTGGAAATTTTGATGCTAAGGTCAAATTTAAGCGGTGCTGCGAAAACTGTGCTTGCCTACATTATTTATTTTGCACATTTTTCACGTGAATTTCTAATTAATGATTTCGTCTTTATTCCATCCTTCCTGAACATTACTTAATGTTTCTTCGCGCGTTTTTCTTCGCGCGTTTTTTACCTGTCAGACAACATCCGCAACATTATTATCGTAAAGAGTGTAGGTACAATTGTACCCCTGCAATACAACAGGGGTTAAACGCCTTCACGCTATATTTGTGCAGAGAAATGTGTGTGTTTTTGTTGTATTTGTATGGCAATTTCCCGTTCATTGATTTCCTACGTTGCATGATTTTGTATCTTTTATTTTCTTACAGTTTCTGACAGATGGCGCACTAGTTTTTATGTTTTTTTTTCATTCCTGCTTCATCTATTTTGTTTTTACATTTTTGCAGCTAAAGCCTCCGACAGATTTGTATGTTTTGTCTCATATCCATTTAATAAATTTTATGTTTTGAAGTATTTGTGTTCATTTGTGTTTGTTTTTCAAAATTTTATTTAATTTTTAGGATTTAACTTGTTTAACAGTGATGTTCGAATGCCTTGCTTTCCGCATTTTTATGTTTTATAATAATTGTTGTTGCTGTCAACTAACACTAATAAATTGCATGCTTTGTGTGGCGTGGTCCCTGAGTGTTCGTATGCTGTAATTTGTTTGTTTGCGTGTTATTTCAATGCATATTAGATTGTTATTAAAATGTTTTATTCTATGTTTATTTCCTCCAGTTCTGTTTTTGTTTAGGTCATCTGTTATTTGCACGTATTAACTATTCTTACAATTTTAAATTTTAAAAACCAATTTGCACACTCATGAATATATGATGGAAGTAACGTTTTCGTGCAATAATTATTCAAATAAAGTATTTAAACTCGTTAATTTCATTTGTAAATCACCGGTTGTTAGAACAGTTTTTCAAAAAGTTGACAGCAGATTTACCGACCTTGCTAAATTTGTCTATTTAGATCTCAATAGTTTATGTTCAGCCTGTAAGTGTCAATCAATATATATTTTTCTTGTTCGGCTGAATTAACTGAGCTTGAATTTTTCTCTTACTCGTGTTCTGATTTGTGTTCGTTTTCGCAGGAGATAACAAATGGAGCAGCGATAGAGGAGGTCCCGGTCAAATGGTGAGGATTTATATGAACTTCAATCCACTTATATCCTCTTATATCTACTTTATATCCACTTATGTCCACTTTATATTCACTTATATCTACTTCATTCTTATCTGGAAACCTCCGAACGTGAACCACGTTCTGTTTCGGTCGAATTCTTATAAATTTTACAATCTTTTTGATGATTATGTTAATGGAAACATTTTAATGTAGTAATATGTTTCCAAACTTGTAAGTCCTGAAGCATAGCCGGAAAGTTAATAACTCTTTTCGTGTTATTTATTCTGTTTTTACACTTCAGATGGAAGGTGGCAGTGTAGCAGGTGGAGATTTAGGCATCGCTTCTGCGATGAGCCCCTTCACTTCAGGCACTGAGCCCTCCGTTGCCACTTCCTCCACCAACACTTCCTCCTCTTCCACTTCCTTGACTTCAACCTCCACGGGTGCAAACTTCAACCCAACACCGCCTACGGAGAAGAAGAACCAGAGTCTTTTAGCGTCCCTTCTCTCGCAGTAGTGTGTTATTTTGCGCCTCGAGAAGGCGCTGTAGTTAATTACGTTTGTACCTTTAAATATGAACGTTTATTATCATAAACGTTTGAAAATGTGATCGTTTATGAAGCGTCCCCTAAGTGAAGGATTGTCTTGCAACCAGAACTACGACGTCTGCAAGCGTTAACGTTTAAAAAGTTTAAAAGCACTCGTTTTTGCCCAGATGGTTGCCGCTATCGTTGATAATTGTTTAATAGCTGAAAATCATGATTGTATTCAATTTTGTTAATTTGTGGAAACTATATAGTGATGACACTTTTAGTGAGCCAATAGTGATGAACGTGAAGTGTACGGTTACCATGAAACTGTGAGTGAAGATACAGTGAGTGAAGTTCGCCTCATGTGATGAAGCTAGAGAAAAACAAATTGTCAACGAAGATAAACAAGTTATCACAGATCAATGATATAACGCCGCCCTGATTAAGTTCAAGATCTTCGTATATATCATCAGTAAGCATCAGTGCGCATTTTTTGATGAAGTGAATTCAGATGAAAAGTTTGTCGTGTCTGCCAAGCTAGGAATTCTGTAGTAAAATAAAACTTTCTAAATTGTTTCGTAAAAGCGTCAAAGTTATATTTAATTTTTTATTGATATTAAACGATTGACGGATCACTAAATTTTGGACGTGTTATACTTATAAATAGAAGTCAAGTTTCACCTCCCATGCTGCTGTTGACATTTAATACTAAGGTTATAAGTACCTACGTGTTTTGTCTTAAGAGTCTATCTATTATTGTATTTAGCGGATGTAATTTTTTTAATGATAAGTAAAGTACTATCATCATCCTCATCATCATTATCATCATAAAACTAAAGCGTCTACGTTAACAGAAGATACATGCTACCTGTAAAGTCTCGTTACGATATTCCATCCAATGTTCATATTGGGCGTTTGAACATGACGCTGCTATGTCGTGATAAGCGACAGATGTTGACCTCGTATTTATCTATTCCATGCTTCCTATAACCTACCCAGTGTACGTGTTCATGCCACGTTGATTATGTCTACTCAGTATCTCGGTATTCTGAACACGCAAGTGTTTTACGTGAGCCTAAATGGTCTAAAAAATTAACTTCTCGAGAAGTTGTCATATTTCTCTATGTTAGGTTAGAATTATGCCCTTTTTCTGCTCTAATTTTTTTTTGTGGGAGTTTGAGTAAATTAAATAATTATTGTGCTCTGTCGACCGTTTGATATGAGGAAAGTGGTTCGATTTCCAGTCGCTGAAATGTACCTACAATCTTCTTGAATGTATCTTTAATTTTCTGTAAGTTTCCAGGTCGTTTTCAGCAAGTTATCTGAATGTTGATGCTAATTGAACATCACTGCAGGCTCATGCACACCCTATCATATATCAGGAATAAATCCTATATATTCATGGCGTAGTTCGTATGACTCGGAGTAGCGTTGATATAAAATGCTTCTTGTACCACACTTCGTGTTGGAGTTCGCGGGGTTTACGTTGACAAACTACCGAACTTTAGAGCAGCCGAGTCGTGTAAAATGCTGCAATAAAAATAGTGTAGTAACGCTCGGCAGTCCTGAACAGTTCACAGTATTAGATTTATCAAGTGCCTCTCATACGCAGTACCGTAACAAATAAGCTGGCCCTGGTGCTCAAAAGTTCTCACCATTCGCTATATTTGTTTAAATCTATTAGTACTGCACTAATAATTGCGAAAATTATTTTGGTATGGGTTCAGTTATATAATTGTTAATTCGATAAATGCACTAATAATCGAGAAACTGTGGTATTGGTTATTTTGAATTGTTAATTCAATAATATAATTTTGAAAAATGAAATTAATTACAATCTCAACGATATAGCCTTGTTTCCACGCAACATATTTCACTTTAATGATTTCTGCGGGCTGGTACAGTAAACGACTGAAAATATTCATTTGATATACTATTTTGTGCTGATAAATTGTCCTGATATTTCAGTTTTCGAATGCAGTTAGCTTAAAAATGTTGTCACTACTTATCCTAATTTCTGGTTTTATTTGGGATAAATTACTTTCATATTTACATGGATGCCGATCATTGATCTTCACGCAATACCTCATTCATTAAAGCTGCTTTGCAAATATCAATAACAAATAAAATCACGTCGCAATCATATATATTCGCATTTATAATATTCAATAAAGCAAAAATATTTGTTCCCTTCAATTCAACATCTACGAGGGTATTTCCTCGTTTAATTGCCAAATATCAGCTGCCGTCCACACTTACGTCTGACTTTTTACTTACTTTAACTTCCTTAAATCATCGACCAATCAATATAATGCGATGGAAAGTAACAGAGTAAAGTAATGCGGTACTGTGTCCGGTGTCAATCTGGCGTCTCATTATGATTATTATTATTGTGTGTAATCGAGACGTAATATTGTCTTGACGTGATAGAGATTGATGACGAGTCAACATATGGAAGACACGTGAATATTACCTCTCAATTACACACAATAATAATGATTATAATGAGACGTCAGATTGACACCGGACAACTGTGAGGGGACAAGGGCCTTTTTTTCAAAAAAAGTTAAGTGATCGTAAGTTCATCAGCCAATCATTGACGTCCTTTCAAGCAAAATCCACCAATCATAGACAAGAAAATAGAGCGTAAGTACTTACGTTCACTTAGCGAATTTTGAAAGTATAGCCTCAGATAGCGGATGAGTAAATGAGCACCAGGGTCTAGCATGCCTCACTTGCGGTTGTGAACACATGCTCAACATAATCCTAATATCCAACCCTTAACCCTGCCTATCTCTAATATCCATTGTTGCTCATTTTTTGTTGCATCCGTTAAGCGGGTTTCGATATCATTTTTTATGAATTAATAAGAGTTTTTCTGTCTGCTGACAAATGCATTAAATTGATTGGAAACGTATGAAATAGTTCTCCATTGATTTCCATTTATTCGAAATTAAGTCTTACTTCTGACTACGTTATCCAGCGTCAAGGTTTAATAGTACTCCGACTACGGAGTACCTACTATTATTACGGAGTACTTACTCCGACTACGTCGCTTATTCTTAGTATAAAATATGTCATCTTTACCGAGGATTTTTCCAAGTGGACCAAATAGGGATGGTGAAATTTATTCTGGATTACCCCTCAGATGAGTATTTTCGCGTTCATAAATGCAGTTATTTATGCCGTATTTATAAAATAAAATTTACATTTTGCACTTGACGCGATGTTTTGATTTGAGTTGTAGAGTTTGTAGACTTGCTAGAAAAATTTTAGGTTTCCTTTAACATTTCTGAAGAGTGCCTTGAGTAGAGAACCTGATGTCGAAGATATTTCTAATATTGAACGCTTGCTCCACTGAACAACATTAATCTTATCTACGAGCGGTCAATCTTCATAAACGCCATTTGTTCCAACTTAAACAGACACAAATTTAATACGGGAACTTATAACCGCCTGTGTTGTTACAAATTTCACGAACCTCCAGATTGTTCCCACTAAAAGCACCGTTACTCTCATTAGTCGGCAAGATTATCGGTTGGTTTAAAAAAGATCTATCTGAATGCGGTGTATGTGATTTCAACTCCATTATTTTAACATCTAATTCAAAACGATTAACTTGAGTAGGATGTTTTTACCGCTTCATTCCTTCACACTAACTCGGCTTAGTGTTCCTTACACCCGCTCCCGTACTATTGACATCCTCGATTTGAAGATGAAGGTAATTCTTTAACAGAAATTTTCGACCGCGGAGAGGCTTGATATCAACGGTTTAGCGCCTATGATCATGCTAATGAAGCAAGAATTTGCTTTAGATTGCAATATAGTGTCAAGCTTTGGTTGTCAAAATGCACCAAGTTGGCATTGTCAAGAGGTATATGGCAAATTTGATTGATACAAATGCGGACTTGTTTTGATAGCTGATTTCTTGCTGTTCCCTTTGTAGAAATTTCCGAGAGAAATTCGTAGTTGATGGTAACATTTCTGGAAGCGCAAGCTGTAATGTGATTGAGATTGAAACCTTCTGCCGCCTTGGAAAACTGACATTTTTAGATATTTGTTATCTAAATTGAAAATGAACGAATGTTCTAGAAAATATATATACATAAGTAAAATTGTCTATCTGAACTGAAGCCATTACAATTGATTATATGCGGGGTAAAACTAAAATTTGATCTCGATTTTGCTGAAAACCTTGAATTCTTGCTCTTGTTTTGACGCTGTTTGAAATGTGATTGTTGGGGCGGTTAGTGGATGAGTAACGTGATTGTTGGGACGGTTAATAGATAATGAAGGTGATTGTTGGGGCGGTTAGTGGATGAGTAACGTGATTGTTGGGGCGGTTAATGGATGATTAACGTGATTGTTGGGGCGGTTAATGGATGATTTACGTGATTGTTGGGGCGGTTAATGGATGATTAACATGATTGTTGGTGCGGTTAATGGATGATTAATGTGATTGTTGGGACGGTTAATAGATAATGAGCGTGATTGTTGGGACGGTTAATAGATAATGAGCGTGATTGTTGGGACGGTTAATAGATAATGAGCGTGATTGTTGGGGCGATTTGCATGATAATCTACATGTGTTAGCAGTGCCGCTCAAGCGCCTCGTACACAATGTCGCTCAATTGTCCACGTACTTAATTAACTACGTAATTACCTAGTGAACTAGGTAGTGAACTAATTACCTAGTACTATAGTGAAAAGAACAGCTGCTTTAGTGCCATGTCAGCTAATTGCGGAGCTCAATGTGATTTCGAACGAAACGAAATAAAAACTTATCAATCTCCTCTCATTAAAATTTGTTCCTGAATTATCATTAAAAATAATAATAATAATAGCATTAAAATACTTTATGAGCAAAAATTTCGATCTCGATCAATTTTGTGAATTAAAGATAGCCCCCGGCTGTGCCGATCTCCTAGGATTTTCTGCTGGGATATATTTATTTGAAAGTTTCATTAACATAATTTTCTCAAAATATTCTAACAGTATGTATTGGATTATCATTTCCTTAGATCCGCAGTCTTTACACGTTTTTTTCACTAAAGCCACTTTGTGAAAATTCGTTGTTAGGGTTTTTTCCATTGCCTAGTGCCTGGTTCCGACATGGCATTTAGGAACGAATCATCTAGTGTCAGTATCGCTAGTGCCGGTGTCCTTTCTTTGTAAACTGATGAATAAATTCGAAGCTAACTCATGTAATTTCTAGGCAAGAGATTGCCGTGTGGCGATTGATCTGTCTAGATCAACTAGAGAATTAATAATTAATCAATTAATGTACAGTCAAACAACGTCGGCCAACGAAGCAAGTCTCGCCTCTGTATGTGATCCCTGTCTGTGCCGCTCATCAAGCCTTCAAGTTCTCCTTTCATATTCAAAATTGTTCTTATTTTAAATTTTAACTATCAACCGATAAATTTTTAATTCTTAACTGTGAATTTGACTCACGAGGCTTTTCTTTTTCTCGGTTGTTTGTGCGCTCCTTCCGGCGTTGATGTTTTGTTGTCAAGCGGCTTGCCCACGAAATGACCAAAGTTATTTACATGTTCTTCAACTTTACCTTGATTTATTCACTAGAAAAATAATCCAAACTTCAGAAAACTCTAAGAAAATTAACGATATTTTCATCTTAACGAAAGCTTGGACAATTTCTTCATTTTTTTGTAGTTTTTCTTTAATTTACGAATGCGGACTTTTCCTATTTTTTCAAGTCTTTTATTACTGATTATAATAATTTAAGCCAGCAAAGTTATCAAATTTTCAAAACTAATGATTTTCGACTAAAGTTTTATTTCGACTCGGGCGTATATGTAAGGTGGTGAAGCGCACACTTGTATTGTTGTGCATACGTTTGTTCTGACTTAGCGTGGACCAACTTGTTTAATATATTAGAGTAATATGGCTGGCTTACAGCTATCTATATACAGTACATTTCAGCAGTCTGTAGCTCTGGCTTAGATCTTTCTTAGTAATTAATAAGAAGAAACGATAGTTCGCTTAGATTATATTCATGTGGATGGTAATGATGCACATAAGTAGCCCTGTAATAGTGTGTACCTTTGCTGCCGATAACCCGGCTCTAATTTTTCTTAAAGACAAGAAATTTCCTTCATTAGTTAATACTGCTGGCACCTGTCATATTGACTTATCATAGCTGGAAGAAAGTTTTACCACAACGATTTCTATCACACATATTTATCTTTGTTTTGAATTGTTGTGAAGCCGTGGAAGATGCTGGTTATGTTGTCAATGGTTATTTTGTCAATACAGTCGTTGTATCGTACTAAACTCAGCACTTTTAACCTCATGCACATCAACGTTAATATTTAATGGACTTAGCTGTGAATTTCACTGATGCTCATCGGTGGTTTGGTATTATAATCTCGAAGCTTGTTGCAGTACGTTTTTTTTTTAAAAGTCGAAACGTCGAGGTTGCTTTGAAGATATTGGTTCGTGTTGGCAGTTCACAGTCTGTAATAATCATCAAAACGCTCGAACAGATAATATCTGTGCAGGGAAACTAATAAAAAAAACTCCTTAATACCTGAAAATTCTAACTTACTTTTGTGTTGAAGTTATTGATTGTTCATTAAAAGGGGAAAATTGTAGGACAAAACTAACATAATTGCTTCTTAACCGGAAGGAAGTTAGTGGCCGATTCTTGTTACCAGGAAAAAAAATTACTCACGTTTCCAGAACTGTAATGCCCTATAAATTTTTCGAAAAATTTCTCCGATAAAGCGAAGGTTTCTAGCGCTGAAGAAAAGCCTTAGTTGACTTCTCGTAGAAGAGGATCAAAGGCCGCCGCCGATGGGTTTGGATGTGTGCATCTGGTGTGTTGATGTATACATCGATTCATTCATGTATACATAGATTCATTGATTATCTTCTAATGATCACGCTGAGAGTTTTGTGTTTACCGTCTAAATAAGTACTTCCACTATCGTTCTTATCATTGTCGCCGATCATTATAATTATCACCCACATATTATTGCTTGCATCATTGTAATGGTTACGGATGATTGTATTTTTGTATTGATATTTATGTAAGTTGTAAACGATGTGGTTTTATGAAGTATATATCGGCCGGGTTTTGAGTCTCATCTTAAAACATTGCTGGTTATCACTTATTAATTATCACAATTGATCCTCCTCTTATTGTTTGAACTATTGTTCACTTAAGCACTGGTCAACTTTTGAATCAGTTAATCGTGATTCTGCTATTACGCGTGAACAGTAATTTAGTATTCCTTATTTTTCAATAGTTTTCACTTCCATTACACATGCCAGAATCTTACCCTACGTTATTGCTCAAAGTCTGTCGTTTATTTATTATCTCGTATAGGACGCGGGTGTCCCTCTCTAGCTATGATTTTTTTTGCTGTCAAGATGGTTGTGAGTTCCGAAAAGTTGCTGGATATTTGACTTGTTGAATGATTTGATTCTTCGCAGATGTATAAATAAGTGGATAGAATTAACGTACCCGCATATGGACGGTCTAAGTCTAGTGTATATCTTCGTTAACTGTTTCTTGAACTGCAAAATTTTCTATATTTTCAGTAAAAACTAATAGAAATGAAGACCGTTTGAATAAATCATAAACGTCTGTCCAAGGGCTGAGATTGTTTATGCAATTTCTTCAATATTGAAATAGTTGTTACTCATCTTGATAGTACGTTCCGGTTACAATTCTGCTTCAACTTGCTTCTTACGTGTTCATGAATGTTTGTTTATTTGTTCCTCAAACTGTGCCCTCAAAATAACGTAAGCTAACTGCGTCATCGTTATGATCAAGCCATGTTGGTATGGATGCGTTCACTGGAGCTTCAATGTTTCTTGGTGGGAGTAAAATGTTATCTAAGACCGAACGGATTTGCTCGATTACGTTTAATGAACTTAATCGGAATTAAATGACTTTTGTCTTCGAAAGGAAAAGTTACTTGTTTACTTTTTTCTAATTATTTCTAATCTAATAATATTTTGTCGCATTTTCGAATCTGAAATTTCGACATAAGGGTCGATTATGTCAGTTCAGATCACTTAATTTACGGCAGCATAATTAATTTGATTTAGCTGCTAACTTGAAAAATTGAAACTGAAACAACAACTTCATATTCTGTATTAATTGAACGATGGATGGCCGCATGGATGAAAAACTCTCTGAAAGTACGGTTCATGTAATATTTTTAATATAAGAAAGTTTTCTCGAGTTGGTCTTCCTGTAGTGATTCTGCAAGACGCACGTGATGTCGTCACGATGTTTGGCTGCGGTTCGTTGCTGTTCATTTGTGACGCTTCGCCGGCAGATTTGCGACTCGTTCGTCTATTCGTACTTCTGCCACTACCACTTGTTTCTTGGGGTCATTTTACGGAACTTTGAAATCATATTGCGTGGGTTGTTTTTCACTACGTTTTGAGTTGAAGATATTATAATGAATACGTTAGTACGGTATTGAAAGTAAGTAAGAATTCTGTAAGGTGTAGAAGGCAGTTCTGCAACAGCTCCAAATGAACTCGTGTTCGAAACTTTCTCTGTTAGACCACGTAGTGGGATTCCTAGTAGATTTGATATTAGTGAGGAATGAATTTGAGTATAAAACGAAACAGACAACTGTACTTGAAGTAGTAGTTAAAGCACTCGCTATTTGCAGCTTTTTGGCCAAGACAAGAGAATAGCCTACATGTATAATAATGAATATATTTATGATAGCGACTATGACTCATGATGTGTCTTACTGTACATGTGATTAGCTGGCATCCCAAAGCATTATTCTTAGCACTATATTTTTTTAGACGTGAATACATATTTATAAAGCTAATGGTCAATGCTACAGAGCCCTTATACCTGCTGAAGAAATGTGGTTTTGGCAGGTACAGTCTTTAGTCCTACTTAATGACAGCCACGAGGATCGCCGGCTACAGTTGTTGTTGACGCGTCGACAACTTTTTGGCCTATTTTCAGAGCAATGATGTTCCTTGTTGAAGGCTGCGTTCGCCCCGTCTAGGAAAGATCAGTAATTGCCCTAACAAAATTTAGAGTCGCCCCAGCTTCTGGTATTCCAAATCAGAAGCTGACGCGCCTGTAAATTTTCATTGGGTGTTTTTGTGTAGTGTGCAGTCGCTGGCGTGGCTCAGTCACTGCGACTTGTCGAGTCTCATCGAGCTAGAGTTTTCTGGCAGGATAATAGCACTGATACGTTGAGATAATTGTTTGACTCTTCAGTGGAGCTCGTGAATGTTTCGTAAATATAATGTATTTCATTATACCTATAAATATTTTTTTCGTTGGCCGCGATCTACATGATATTTATTAGGAGCCGAAATACGCAATTGCTTCGCTCTGTGTCAGCTTGCTTTAGTTGATGTATCGGTCAACTTTAGATTATACTCTGTTATTCAAATTGATTTTGCTTTCACTGCGCGTAGATTATATGCACTTCACACTCTTCTGCAGCTCTATCAAGTGTTAACTTTTCTTGTTGATGTTTTTCCGCCAATTTCTTTTTAATTTTGCACGAGACCCCAGTAACTTGCTCTAAGTTTTGTTTTCATGTCAAATTTTTGCAAGCTCAACAAAATGGCTCTCGGTCACGATTGTTAGTTTATCATAGTTCACTGCTTAGTTTCATAGACGAAACTCGTTAGACTGTGGGTAATTTTATTGTATTTTGTATGAAAGCCTTAGTTGCACCGCTAAAATGAGTTTTGTATTTGATTACTTATTCATAATGAAGAAATGTGAGTTTGTGGAAAAATTGTCCCTTATACGTTAACGTTCTCCGTAATACTGCCTGATATTACACATTGCGAGTGTTATATACGTCGTATGCCAGGGTGAGTTCAACAGTTGACTACATGCTCCTGTTATTTTTGTTGTGACATCAAAATCATAAATCAACATTGTCCCGATTATTTGCTATCGATTGCACTGTATCACAAGGTAATTCAGTTTGATTGGTATACATTTGTACAAAGCTGTATTTCTTCGTGTCTCTCTCTTTCATCTCTTCCATTCACGCGTGCTCTGGCGAAATTTCATGTTCAACAAGCTGTGTTATATGAAACTACTTAAACTGTACGACAATTTTTATTTTGAACTTATCATGTCAGTTTGAACTTATCATGTCTGCTAAAATGTGTCAGTGATTTAGCAGAAAAAGCAGAGAAAAACATTTAGCACAAGTTTTTTATATCGATTAGATGCTTCAGTGCTGAATTGGTATTTATTGAAAATGACCTCAGGCCTTCACACTAAGAATTGATGCCAGCAGAGGCGTCGACTTTGATTCGTAGAGTTGAAGTTCACTACAACTTGTACGTGTTTTACTCGTAAACTCTGCTCGTGCTGCACGCCGTGTTTTATACGCAGACGAACTTCTGCGTTACATTCATTGTTTTTCAACAAAAAGAATATTGATTCGATGGTATGTATTTTATCGAATTCGTTGTAAAACCCGTCTCGTTCATCAGACTGTGTTGGAACGAAGCTTCCGATATTATATTGGCAGCGCCTCTGCCAAAGAGTTGAAGAATTCTATTTAATGGAGAGTTGCAGTTTCATGTCAATTTCCATCTTGATTTTTGATTCTAGAATTACTGTGAGTATCGTAAATTACTGTCGAGTTAACTTGATTCACTTGACCACTGATACATGGCCATTGAAGTTAATTACAAACAAGTCGACAGGTGTTTTGTCAGGTCACTCATGGTTAGTGTGGTTAGTCCTCAGTTGTGATTCAACATTTATTATTCAGTTGTTCAATTTAGCTCAAACAAGTAGTTGATAATTTTGTCGAACCACATTTTTTTCCAGAGTGCACCATCTCAAATTTCCCATTATTTTATGTATTCTGGTAGTATTTTTTTTTTGTCACGTTACAATGCCAATATAGACGCCACTACAATGCTCCCTCCTCCTGTTCAGTTATATTTAAGTCACTCTCCCATACGTGTGTAATCTATTCCTGAGATTGGTATCTACACTATTATTGTTTTATAAATGACTATTTATGAGTATGAAAATAAGATGATTTTATCTATGAATATATATACAATTATATATATATATATATATAGCTTCTTCGGGCTCTGTTGACGATAATAATGTTATTAATGAGGGTTCTTTGTGCTGTTCGTATAAAATCATGTTTTTTGTGGCTAGGGATGTGATTTTGATGAGTATAGTGTTGATGAAAAGTTTGTACATATTGTGTATATTATCCACGACCAGAGTCTGGTTGGTCCGTGAGGGCAAATACAGCGAAAAACTCTGCTCTTTTTTGTGATTTTACCTTTGCTCTTCTTGTGAAGACTCGCACAGTTTGCAAATGAATAATGACATTTGATTATTTCAAATTTATAGCTGTTGACGACAGCAATTTTTTTCTAATGACAATTTTTGAATAACAACGAACATTGAAATGACAAACTTTTTGATGAAAGACGAACATTAAAATTGATTCCGAAAATAGTCTCAGATTTCAATCCCTGAAATCATAAATGTAATTTTTGCTTATTTACTGAGGACAAAAGAAGAAATGATCGCCAAAAACTACACTGTATTACCGAAATCTGAATATCTTGTTGACGCTTTCAAAGCTCTTATTATGGCGTTTCTAATTTCACCTACATGAAGTACTAAGGATTAGTTTAGGGTGCACATGCGGCACAGGCATCGGTGACTCAACGGCATTCAAAGGCTCTTTCTTTTAGTCAACCAGTTGTGCTTGGTAGCACTTGAAATTCCTGATGTTTGTCTGAGGCCAGTTTTTACCAGTAAGCCATAGGTTTTACAAAAATACAGTTAATCTCTTCGGCTCGCTTGTCGCACCTAAAGGGAACTTTTGAGATAACTCGCTTCTTTCACTTCACGCACGTCAATTTCCACCGAGCTACCAGTATAATTGGTAAAAATTTTGTCCGATTTCTACAGGGAAATTTCATAAATCAATCAAACGGGGCGCTTCCCTCCTTCATTGTTTGCCAGACTATTTTCTAGATCTAGAGAATGTGATTTATCAGTATGCTGATCTGTGCTCGTTTTGGGAGGTGTGCTGAGTCAATCTGAGTCCGTAACAAGACGGCCTCATGTTATGCCTTTATTACAATATCATTTCCAGTTCATACTCGTCAAGCGCATGTTTGCCTCTCCATATCTATTGAGGCTACCTGGAAATTACAGGAAAATGTTTTGCGTCCGTTTTGAGTTATTAACCTGAAGCACGATTTGCGATTCCTCGATTTGTTGACATTTCACTGTCCTTGTTGAAAGTAAACTCGTTCCCTTTTTGTACCGCACTACGGGTAGTCCTTTATATTGTATCAATTCTAAAAGAATTTCAACAGTTTTAGTCTGCCACAATTTTCTTCTGCTCTATTAAAACGCCAGAGTTCAACTGCTTTACTTCATTGAAATAGTACTTGCAGTCACCAAATAATAAATCTCTGCTAATGAAATCAGCATTGAGGAAGAATGACTTCATGTCTTGTAGCGCGTCACTTACTTGAAATATTTCATTAGTATCGCCTCTGTTCAGCCACACGGCAACCGTTGACACGGTAGCAGGCTCGTGTTGGCCTATTCCAACTTCAACGCATATCATGTCCGTTGTTTAGAGGCAACGATCAGATTTCAACGCCTTGTTGAAATCTATAACGGCATATTCATTTAATGTGCACTAAAATGCGTCTCCTTCGTTGCCAGGCGGCTTGGTTTTGTAAAAATGATCGAACACACCTTTGTGCTTTCTCTGCATCCTCGTACTGCAGGGATAAATTTCCAAATCGCAGCATATTATCCGAGGCTGAAGCAGTAGCCAACGTCGTACCCACCCTGTCTAGAAAACCAGTACAGTAATCCCCGTCGTAATAAGACGGAAGCAAGTTTTCGAAAACTGAACCGTCCTCTCTGATACTTTTCAGCATATCCATCTTGCTCATTATCCTCAGGCTTCCTTAATTCGAACTGATGACCTCTACACTCACTCTGAAGCGTCATGTTCAAACCAAAGCACGCATCGTTTTTGCTAGCGGTTGGCTTGGTGATAACAACTTCAAATTACTGCGATCTCTTAGTAATTTTTTTGTTGGGCAATGATATAGTTGGTTTTGCCATCAGATGGACCAAAATTGGAACGACTGTTTCACTGATTGATAATAACTTCGACGTCATCAGCGGCACTTCTTGAATTCTGTCCAAAATTAATAGGAGGTGAAATAATTCATTTTCAGTTTAGGTTGACGTTTGAGGAAGTTTTGCGCATTACTGCTACTTAAATTTGGCAAAGCAAAATAAAATTAAAAAAAAACTCCTTAGCGGCACTTGGTAACTTTGTGTCCCAAGTTCTTTCATAAATAATTCCAAATTTATTTTCATGTTTGTTGTTTTACAAACGCGTATTTTCAATATAGACCTATTGGAAGTGCGTGTTCCAATAGGTCAAAATAAGTTCACGTCTTGTGTCAACTACTTGCAGCTCGATGAAGCCACAATTGGGAACCATCATTTAGCTGACGTTAAGAATCTAGTCTCCAGGTAATGTCAGATCCTACCTAACACAAGATCAAGAGACATTCCCTCATTTCGAACCCATTAATGAGCATAATATTAGAACCCAAATCCCGTATGAAGCCATCAACCAGCGTTGTACAAAATAACGCTAGGAAGCCCTCCTCGCTTCGGTACGTTTAATGAATCTTGCGATGAACACGATCATAATAATCAAATGTTTATGTAATCATATAACGTTATATTTTACATGTCAAATATAATCTGCTTCTCATGTGCATGTTCCATTTAACATAAAGTGCCTTCATTCTTCACTGCAGCTCCCGCCTCGAATGAAGCCATCCCCTCTGCCCGAGGCTTCTCCTTCACAAGCGGCCGCGCCTAGTCACATCGGTACTTCTAATGAATGTTGTGATGAAAACGATCTTAGTAATCAGATGGGCGATCAATCCTTGCCTATAACATTTGCTTTTTGTAATAGCGAAAGAAGTAAAAATTTTGCGAGATTCCGGTGCTACCACTGTCCTTATTAAGAAGTCGCTTGTGCCTAAAAGATGACTGGAGTAAAATTTTCTCTGCAATTGGCAGATAACCGAGCTGTAAGTGCTGTTAAAGCTCCTGTGAATTTGGACTGTGTGTTTTTCAAACGAATTAATAATGCTGCTTGTTTGTCCGAACTACCTTTCGACGTTTTGATAGGTGATATTCCTGGTGCCGTATCTGAATATTCCGTATTCAGACTGATAGCGCTGTTCAAACTAAGTCAGAAATATTCTGAATCTGATTTGGAAAGTTTATAACCCATGTCAGAGAATAAAATTATGTTCGATTTAAAGTGAATGAATACGCAAGGTCTTGATTGCTTTGTAGCCATGAGATCCGAAATTGCAAAAAATATTATCAACTTATAGACTGAATATGTTGTTGCTATGAGAGAACGTCTTGAAGAATTTATGAGTCTCCCGAATGAAAATTGATTTTTGAACTAGGCTATACAAGGAGAAAGTGTACTACGGCAAAACTTCTCGTGCTAAAAAGTTAAAGATTGAGGAAAAAGTTTGTTACTTCTTCCTTCTAGCACCAGTATACTGTTAGCTGAATGGAAAGGGCCTTTCAAAGTTGTGAGAAGAATCAATAAGCTTGACTATGTTAATTATTATAGAGTTAATGATTGTGAACGCACTTGCCATGTGAACATGTTAATGTTTTCAGAGAGCGCAAGGCTGAGTCATTCACAGTCACAACCTATTGCTGCATTTCCTTTCAGAGCGCAAATAGTGTACCTAATGATTTCAAAATCAGTAAGGATATGAATGAATCTGAGCTTCATTCTATTTTGGAGGTGTTGAAGAATAATAAGAAATTTTTCAATGATGTGCCTGAGGGAGTTAATTTTATGAAGTTTGAAATTGTCATTTCCGACTCTGTGAAACCTATCAGAATCGTTCAATATCGGACCCTATTTCACTTGAAGATAAGGTGGACGCTGAAATTAGGAAATGGTTAGATTGTGGAATCGTCAAGAATTCTACTATTCAGTGGGCTGCACCTGTGGTGATTATCCAGAGTTCTGATTTTTCGGTCTTTAAACTTGACTGTCGATTATCGTAAAGTTAATCATTTTGTTAACACTGATAACTTACCAATGCCAAATGCTGATAGTGTTATTGAGACGCTGTTTGAAGAAAAGTTCATTGGCCAACTGCAAATTCCTTTGACAGAAAGTTCAACTAAGTATACTTCTTTTGTAAATGATAATGGGCAACACGAATTTAATGTTGAATGTTGTTCCTTTCGGTATGAAATATGCTAGTGGCTTGTGTAATCGTGTAATTAACGAAGAATTGCATGACTGTCGTAACTTTGTAGTCAACTTTGTGGATGACTTGGTTGACTTCGTAGTGTTTAGTTCTAAATTTAAGAATCATGTGTATCATGTAAATTTAATTCTTAATGTAGCCGCGCCTTGCACGTCTCTAATTTTTGTACCGCGATTTTTCTTGTATATTTTTGCGATTATTCAACAGTTATTTCTTATATTTGTTCTGTTAAATTTGTACTAATTTTTCCATTAAGGGTTTTTTTGTCTCTCGATTTTTACTAGCATTTTCATTTGGAGAAAAAGTCTGTTCACCCTAATCATTCAAAGTGCGTCACTTTTATTCTGTTAATCGTGAAGCACTTTGCGCTTCAATGTTGGTGAATTTTTATGAATAGTAGTTATATTGTGACGTGTAAATTTGTGCGTGTTATAGGTGGATATTGTGAGATCTAAATTTGTGCTGAGATATTTGCGAAATTTTAATTATTTTGTTTGGAATAATTAAAGTTAAGTGTTATAGCTGTAGGTATCTTGTGAAGTTTATTTATAATTTTTGTTTGCAGAATCATATTGGTTAACTACGAACAATAGATTCAGAACGAGCCATCCGCTGGGTTCACTTTGGGCTCATTTTGAGTTTATTTTCACTGTTCCCTTTACCACGTTTTACTGTGCCTTCGTTACAAATAGTGTCAAAAATCCAAGTTCACTTTCCCTGCTCGGTTAAAGTTTCGTTTGTCTGGTCGGCGCTGAAGTAAGAGCGGCAGGCGGTATTATTGCAGATTAACTACATCCAAAAAAAAGGGTGTTTTTTTTTTAATTATATGTTTTTTGGGGTGTAGATTACGAATCTGAAATCCATTTTTGGCGGTCGGCATCGGAAAACCGATTTTTTTCGCGACTTACTAACATGGGGGTTACGTAACTTACGTTACCCACTCA